GAGGACTTCCCTTCTTAATTAAAAAAAGGAATTTGGTTTGGTTTGGTTTATCTTACTCCACACAGACAAACACAAATACGCACACACGAACACGCACACAAACACTCACACTTGCACACACATCGTTCTCTACTCTCTCTCTCTCTCTTCTCTCTCTCTCTCTCTCTCTCTCTCTCTCTCTCTCTCTCTCTCTCTCTTCTCTCTCTGTCTCTCTCTCTCTCTCTAATTTTCGGCCTTCTTTCCCCATTTACTCCCGTTCTTTTTTCTCCATTCATTTTGTCTTCTTTCCCCTTCCAATTTGATTATACTCCCCCCCCCCTCCATTCCATCCTCCCATTTCGCCACTTTCTGTCCCTTCCACTCCCCCCCTCCCTTCCCTCCCTCCCTCCCTCCCACCCGCCACCATTCTCTACCATCATGTCTCCCTTCCTCTCCCATCCATCCCCCACCACTTCCCATCCCCCATCCCACCACCTCCTCCCCCTCCCCTCCCCTCCCCCCCCCCTCCCACCACCTCCCTCCCTCTCATCCCTTAACTCCTCCCCCCACCATTCCCTCCACTAACTCCTCCCCCTCCCCCCACCATCCTCTACTAACTCCTCCCCCTCCTTCCCTCCTCCCTCCCTCTTCCCTCCTTTCTTCCTTCCCTCCCTTCCCTCCCCCCCCCCACTAACATCCTTCCTCACCCCTCCTTCCCCCCCCCCACTCCCATCCATCCCCACCACCTCCTCTCACTCCCCTCACTCCCTCCATACCCCTCCATCCTCCCCATCCACTAACTCCTCCCCCCCCCTTCCTTTCTTCCCTCCCTCCCTCCCCCCCCCACCATTCTCTCCACTAACTCCTCCCCCTCCTTCCCCCTACGGCTTGCGCGTCCTCCTACATCAGCGGATTCCGGACGAGTCTCAAGAGAAGAGACCACGTGGCGATCCGGTACTGCTTCGCCCGTGTGGAACGAGACACTGATCTTCGACTTGGCTCAAACGCAGGTGGGTGAGGGTGGAGGGGTTTTGGGGGGTTGGGGGGTTGGTGGGGGGGAGGGTTGGGGTTGGGGAGGTAGGAGGGAGGGTGGGGTAGTGGGGGGTTGTCTAGGGCGGGAGTCTTTGTTGGGGCGTGGTGAGGAGACGAGGGGTAATGATGATAATTCTCATTATTATTATTATTGTTATTATTATTATTATTAGGATAATAATAATGATGATAATACTGATAGCAATAATAACAGTGATGATGATAATGATTTCTGCATATGATAGTAATAGTAATACCGACAATAACAATAACAATATTAATGGCAATCATTCCGAATTAAAGGTTGAACACGTGACCTTCCTGCTGGTGATGTGCACGAGGCCTCAGCTCCCCGTGACCCCCACGAGCTCCGACGCCTCCATCCACTCCGGCAGCGACGTCCTCCACGACTACCAGGGCGTGCATGACCTCTCCCTCTCGTCGTCGCCGCTGCATGACCATCAGGGCCACAAGCGCGACAGATACGTGGGCAAGCTGGCCCTCGGGTGCAATGTCCGCGGCGATGAGCAGAGGCAGCATTGGCTCGCCATCTTGGCCAGCCCGCGCAAGGTGGTGTCGCTGTGGCACTCCTTGCGGTAAACCCGTTTATAGTCTGTCTCTTAAGCCCGTTTTCTTTGGTTCTTCCTATCGAATCCGTTTTCTTTGGTTCTTTCTCTCGAATCTGTTTTCTTTGATTCTTTCTCTCGAATCCGTTTTCTACGTATATTTCTCTCGAATCCGTTTTCTTTCTCTCTTCTCTCGAACTCATTTTCTTTCTCTCTTCTCTCGAATCCGTTTTCGTCCGCTGAAACCCATTTTCTTTCTTGTTTTTTATTCCGTTTTCTGTCTTTTTATCTTGTAAGTTCTGTTTCTCTTTTCTTTCTGTTTTTTCGCATTTCTAGCTTTTGGGAGAATGGACAAAAAAGAGATTTTATATTGAGGTGGAAAGACAACGAGATACTGTTTATGCGCACAATGAAGGAAATGTAATTGGCTTCGGAAACTGCCCACTGAAGATTTACAGAAAAAAAAAATGTTTGCTGTTGAACTTCTGTCTTTGATGAAAAAAAAAATCGATTTAATTTCGTCATTGTGTTCGAGTGTACATGTCGACCGACCTTGACAAAACGTCCCCCACCATTACAATAAAATAATACTATTTTATCGAAGAAACAAAGAGATTTTTTGTGTCTGTAAATGTTGACGGTCTTCATGTAGCCATATATTTTTCCCTTTATATGTGAAAATATACTTAAGTGTTTTGTGATGTATAATTTGGCATACATACACTACATAAATGTCATATACACATGGTATATATCAGTAAATATGATTATGTATTTGGATGTGTTGTGGATATATATACATATACATACATATATACATATATACAAATAAATCAATATATATTGTGTGTGTGTGTGCATGTGCATGTATATACACATACATATACACACATACATATAAATTGAATACATATATATATATATATATATATATATATATATATATATATATATATATATATATATATATATATATAATTATCGTCAGTCGTCTACAGACAATCAGCATAATTATCAACAAATCATATCCTGGATCCTCGTACCTCAGTGTCTTCCCATGCCAGTCACACTCTGCAGTGGTGAACACCTTATGTGCATGGGAATAACGTCCATTTTAGTGTAAATTATTTCACACGTGTTATCCGGAGATGATCCCAAAACATGAGAGGTCTGCGTTCGTGATCCTGTATATATGTTGCCATTGTGGTTGATGTTTATCTTCGCGTAACCTTATGGTAATCGATGGGATGATGACCATGTTCCTGTTTGTTTGTTTGTTTGTGGTGGAGTGTAACCACAGAGACATTCTGTAAAGCAGTCCATTAAGAAGAGAAGGTTATGGCTGCCAGTCATACGAATCATAATCATTTCATACAAAGATGTCAGTGCAGTTGTTGCAGTTAGTGTTAATTTTATCTTTATTTTCTTATTTCATAGATTTTGTTATTGATCTTAGTAGATTTCCTTTCCCGTCTGTTGCGCACGGCCACTTATATTATACTGTATTCAGGTCTTGTTTTATCATCCGTCCTAAATGAATCCGAAACTTTGTCTTTTTATTTATTTTTTTTTCTACAAACATCGATTCCTTATCATATTTCCATAAAAAATATGAGTGTTCCAGTTGTAGATATCAATACCAATAATTGACATCTGCATCAATGATAAGAGAGATATACGGAAGATAAGTAGAAATAAAATACAGAATAATTATTGAAACGAAGTCGAAATCGTGTTTAAAATGGCGCGTCGTTTCCTTTGTTTTGGTTCGTGGCGGAGGGTAAGTTTTGGTGTCTATTGGTGTCCGTGTCAAACAGTTGTGATAAAGTAACATTAGTGCGTTCCAGCAACACCCTTCGTCAATGTCGTGGCGCTGAAGCAATCAAATGCTGTGTCAAAGGTGTTTTCTGTGTATAATGTGGAAAGTTTTCGATGTTGCCTCCCCTGTGTTAGCGACCTGTCGAGCGGTTAGCGGTAGAACATAATTCCGCTATGTTAGTTTTCGGTTTCATTAAAGATTGTGTGTGTATGTTTGAGTGAGTGTGGCACATACACTTTGTGTGTTTGTGTGCAGTGCGCCTGCGAAAGAGATATCCAGCGAGATTTTGTAATTCTAAATCAGTTAGCATTATATGTGTATCTATCATTATAATCATGGTACTAAATGGAGATGCTGCATACTGAAGCATAATACAGCACCGAAGAATCTAGTAAAGGAAAAAAAAAGTTGCTAGTTATACAGTATGTAAAAAATGAACATTCGATTTGGTGCATCAGAATACAGTAGTGGCAACCGAATTGCTGTGGCGTGATTTTTTAAAAGCTTCTTGATCGAACGGTTGTAAAAACAATGTCACTGCAAGTAATATTGATGTTCCTTATTTATTTGATTTTAATGCTCTCTATAGCATTGCGGTGGTCGCTTATTTCATGTTGGGTGGTGGGTGTCGATGATTTTGAAAAATTTTGAAAATTTCAGTGAGAATTATATTTTTCACTCGTGCACTGGAAGATGAATTTTGAGTGAAGGGAAGAAACTTCCTTTTTCTGAAAGAGTGTTATTGTTGCTAGTCATGTCAGTAATGCTAGTTGCTAGTCATTCCACAAGAGAAATAATTGATAAGCAAATAAAATATTTATAAGATATAGGATGACATAGAAGAGAAGGACTCGAAAAGAGATAGTTAATGACACAAACTTTTACAATATGTTCAAGCAATTGAGTATTCCCAGATATTTCATAATTTAGAATTGCAATTTGATCAACTAAAACAACAAATCGCTCATATCATTAGTTAGATATTTAATGGTTATACAGAAAATTGAGTTTTTATAAAAGTCTTAAGTTTCAAGGGAAGTGTAACTAACCGGTATTCGGGTAACCGGATATGACGTCACAGTGAGACGTCCGAAGAGGCAAGGGATGTTATTGTGTATTTTTTGTGTGTATTGTGTAAACATAAACACACATTAGGGGTCTTGGCCATGAAACTGCACAAAGCTTTAATGCATATTGCCTGTGTGCACTGTATTATATTCTTGTGGAAGGAAGAGAATAAATATTATAGATATGTTGATAAAAATATATATCATAAACCAAAACTGACTTTTGTGTGGGGTGTGAATCTCTCTCTCTCTCTCTCTCTCTCTCTCTCTCTCTCTCTCTCTCTCTCTCTCTCTCTCTCTCTCTTCTCTCTCTCTCTCTCTCTCTCTCTCTACTCTATCTATATATATATCTATATATATATATATATATATATATGTAAATATATATTTATTTATTTATTTATATTTATATATTCACATATATATTTGTGTGTGTGTGTGGTGTATATATATATATATATATATATATAATAATATATTATGTATGTATAATATATATATACTATATAATATATATAATATATATATATATTATAT